TTTATTTATTTATATATATATACATGGGTGCATCTATACTACACGTTCACTACACCTCTCTGTATTATACAAATACTATATAGGCCTCTATACTACGCTTCTACTTCACAGACACGTAGACTACATCAACCTTCGTTCGTTTGACTACCACGGACCCTGGGAGGCCTTCACCGGCCACAACGCCCCTCTGCTGGCCCGAAGCGATGATAACCCGTTCGAATCAACCGAGAATCTCGTAAGATATCCGTCCTTCATAACACGCAGTCGTCAAAGACGCAATCCACAAATCATGCGTAGTTATACGAATCCGATAAGTATAGCGCAGATGCGTTAAACGCTGTTTCACAGTGCAGGACGTCAGCAGATCACGTAAAATATGAGCTTACTCTTTTAATTTAATATGACCTGCAGACATAATATTTAAAAATTCAAAGATTTACCGCTTCCCGAACATTTTTGCTGCGCGTGCAGGCCTACACATACACCGCTTACATACATAACGAATATTTTCGTAGAAATGGACGGTGGACGAGTACATCAGGCAGGGCACGCCTCCAGGGAAGCTCGTGGTCGGCATAGCAGCGTACGGGAGCTGTTTCCGACTGATTCCTGGCAGCGGGCACGGGATAGCGGCACCGGCGCGCGGGCCGTGTGCGGCGGCCCCGTACACCGTCACCGAAGGAATCATGGCTTATTATGAGGTAGTAATTAATTAATTAATTACGGTAATTAGGATGTTTGCGTATCTCTCTATTTGTCGGTTATTAATAACTCGAGCGCCTCGCTCGGCAAAACAAGGCATGTTACTTCGGTGTGGTGTTACAGGGTTTCCGTTGCAGACGTTTATATATATATATATATCAGGAGTTAATAATGACAAATATTGTCATTGTATTGACAATTTATATGACAATTTGTCATTATTAACTCCTGATCAGGAGTTAATAATGACGAAATTCTCCTGATATATATAATTATATATATGTGTGTGTGTATGCGCGCGCGCGTGTGTGCGTGCGTGCGTGTGTGTGTGTGCGCGCGCGTGCGTAGTTGTTATGCTCGCTGCGCGGGGCTGGAGAAACCGTTCACCGTCGTAGCTAACTATGTTATCTGCCTGAGCAGGTGTGTGACAAGCTGCGTAACGGCTCCTCCACCCGTGTGTTCGACACCGAACAGCAAGTTCCGTACGCGTTCTCCGACAGTGCATGGACGGGATACGACGATACCGTCAGTATCCAACACAAGGTAAGCCAAACAGAGAGAGAGAGGCGTCATGTATCAATGACATGTATCAAGTCTACAGCTAAATGAGTATATAGAGCCTGTATATATATATATATATATATATATATATATAGAGAGAGAGAGAGAGAGAGAGAGAGATACATATATCTCTAGGTCCCAGCATTACCATTATGACCCTTGATGAAGGTCTTGATTTTATGAATGTAGGCGAAGGAGGACACTGATATTGACTATCGTTCTTCTTAATACCCGTTTAGGCAACCAACATTTCCACTAGTTTGTTGTATTGTGTAAGGTCCTGCTAGTTAGTTAGGTAGTTTATAGTGTATAGCGTATAGTGTATTGTTTATATTGTATGGTGTCTGGTATGTGTCACTGTAGGCAGTGTTAGTTGGTGTATAGTGTAGAATCTTATAATCTGATGATCAACCGCGAAATTCACATTATTTTCTATCTCTCAGATGGACTTCGTAGAGGAGATAGAATTAGCCGGCGCTTACATATGGACGCTGGACTTTGACGACTTTACCGGCCACTGCGGCAGCGGCAAATATCCTCTACTGCAGGCAATCAACGCCGCTCTACGACCTATGACCTCTACGTCAACAACCGAGTCCACGACCACGCCGACGCCGTCGCAAACTACGGTGCTACCGCTACAGTCGGTGAGCATGCCGGAAAGGACGACCGTAAATGGAAGGCGGAGCACGACCCGGCGGCCTCCGCCACCAACAACCACGCGTCAACCCCGCCGAACAACCACGCGGCGACCCCGGCCCCTAACAACCACGCAGCGACCGCGCCTAACAACTACGCAGCGACCGCGCCGCCGCTCGTCCACTAGACACTCGCTCCAGCCACCGTCAACCACGCACAAGACCACTAATGCGGCCTCGCCCTCTACCACCAGCAGCAGCAGCAGCGGGGGGATGTCCACACGCAAGGACTCGATGCCCGACCCCTCCGCCTTCACGACACGCGACACGGACGGCGGCACACAGAGGCTCGACAACGACTCGACCACGCCCTTCGAGACCACGCCCTTGCCGACCACGCCCTTCGAGACCACGCCATTCGAAACCACGCCCTTCGAGACCACGCCCTTCGAAACCACGCCCTTTCCGACTAAGAAGCCGGGAGGTAAGCAGTGCGCGCAGCAGGCGTTCACTTGTTCCGGTAACGGTTCGTTTCGCAACCCTCACCACTGCGGACAGTTCTACATGTGCGTGTTCTACGGAACTCCCTTCCAACAGGTCTACCTGCTCGACTGTCCAGTCAAGGACCTCCTTGTGTTTGACGAAGAGACGCACACCTGCATCTACTATTTCGACGTGGAGAATTATGCAGAGCGCTGCACATGTCAGGAGGCGGACCCCATAACTCTGAGATAACGTGCTTTACCTGCAGGGAATACAAGCGCGCTCTTTCCCTTATAACGTAGTACTATGAGTATGAGTACAGTACTATACTAAGAGTAAAAATACGTTCACGTTTAAACATGTGTAGGCCTGTGTAGACACTAAATGTTGTCTGCGAGATACGTGTGATAGTTTTATATATAAGTTGGGATAACATATGGTCTATGGGGCACGATGTAAAATGTCACGTGTCACCTTACTTTTCATGTACTAATTTTACATACGCAATATTCTATTTTCCATACCCATTTTATTTTATATATAATTAAAATAATAATATAAAAAATACATATTATAATATATTATTATTTTAAGTACTTATAAATGAAGGTTATATTTGATATATGATAACAAATGTATTGTTACATTAAATATTTATCATCTAAGCAACATCACATTATATGACATTGAGAATATCTAAGAATGCAGACAAGCAAAATCAACCAGTGAAGATGATTCAAAAACATAAAAGTTCGTCACATCATACACTTTATTTTAAAGAGTAATATACAGCATGGCAAAAAAATTCAAGACCTATCGACAGCGCATCGAACAGGAGATGTGCATCACTTTACTGCATTGCTCGAATGCACCAAGTGTTTCCAACACTCTTCATTGAACCACAAGCGTTTCTAACGCACTTGTTTGCAACACTAAGCGCACGCTTTCCGATCACGCACAACTACGCAGCGTGCGTACGACACTGATCCTAGCAGCACTGCATGCCCGTGTCCCGATACAGCCATAAATACTCGCGGTCTCTCACTCTCAGCTTCCTCAGGGGTCTTCCTGCCACCCCACCAGCATCCCCCTGTCCACCATCGCTCCCCTCTTTGTGCGTGTGCCCCAGCCTCGACGCCAAAGCATCGTTACCACGCACGTGGCTCTCACGCGGAAAGCTTATGCACCATCTCTTCCTTGTTGATGAGATGACACGTGTTGTTGACGGTCTGCATGAGGGTGTTGAGCTTGAACGACCAGTCGTTGAGGATGCTGTCCGCATCCTTGGCCTTCACGAAGTTGATGACGCCCGCTAGACGATCCATCTTCGCGTAGACCGTTCCGATTGTGACGAGATTCGAGAGAAATTCCTCGGTCTCCTGACGAAGGCAAGAGTTACAGTCAGTTTCTCGTTGAACAGGAAGAGAAGACGATAGAAGGGGGAGGGGAGTAATTACTCGGTCTCTTGATAACAGCTAGATAGAAGGTCAGTTTCTCAATAAACATAGAGCGATAGAGAGTAGGGAAAGAGAGAGAAAGAGAGAGAGAGAGACGGGGGAGAGCGAGAGACAGGGGAGAGCAACAGCGAGCGAGAGAGAAAGAGAGAGAGAGAGTGTGAGCGAGAGAGAGAGAGCGAGAGAGAGAGAGAGAGAGAGAGAGTGTGTGTGTGAGCGAGAGAGAGAGAGAGAGAGAGAGAAAAGTCTCAGTCTCCTGGTAACAGTGAGAGACATGGTGAAACAATAATAACACATGAAGAATGATAACATGACACTTGCCTGTCCAGACAGATCCAACAGCTGTGCCATTCTCGACAGTCTGATCTTCGTGTAGTACTTTGACATTGTCCGGATGTTCTGCAACGAATGCACAGATACGTGAACGTCATAGCAAACTGCTGGAAAGTATTACATCGATCATAAGAGTCACAGCCAAGGAGATAGCGTACAGCAAAGGAGATAGCGTACAGCAAAGGAGATGGCGTACAGCAAAAGCATGGATGTATGGCACACGTCGCGATCGACGTGGATTTTTGGACCGACTCCCAGCACTACCTAGACGTATGACATACAGTTGAGAGTGACACACGTGATATCAGTAACATACGTACGACGTGCTAGGGATATGTACGCCCAACCAGGGTATTAGCCAGGAATGAGTATTGTGGGAGTGCAGAAAAAATATTTGGGAGTGCAATTTTACAAATGTACACGGCTTTAGATCAATATTTTAGGCCGCGTTACACATTTTTGGCCGTGCAGTTTCAAAACTGACCGTGCAAATCACGGCTGCACGGCTCGCTGGCTAATACGCTGCGTGCAACTAGTCGGTGCACGGTAACAGACCGGATTGCGAGAGACGGGTGAGAACGTGGGCCGCTATACGTACATGCTCTACTACAGTGACACAGACGTGATGCCTATAACATACAACACGCTAGGGGTATGTACGTGCAACTAGTCGGTGGACGGTAACAGTCTGACCGGATCGCGCGATGCGGGTGAGAACGCGGCTGTACGTACATGCTCGACTACACGGGTCTTTAGATCGCTCCATCTCTTGGTGCCCTCCTCGTCGTCAACCTGAAACACATCGGTGGGTGGGTCGTCCGCAGTGCCCGACTTCAGCGGGGTCTCGTATATCTCACACAGCTGGCTCCAGCGCATCACCTCCGGTGTTGTGAAGCAAGTGAGCAGGTCTCTGTGAAAATCAATGCACGTGCTACATAATTGACTAAACTTTCACATGCAACAAAATTTGGGCATTTGTTGAAATTCATTTTTCACATCACAAAATAAATCCTTTGTTTTAAATTAAACACCAAAAATGCACCATGAATTCCAAAATTAAAGTTTCTGCATACACACAAACATCAGTGCAAATCCATAAATATATGCTTATCATTATATTTTAATATATATATACCACATACATAAATAAATACCGGCACTTATAAATTATAATACTCGTGTTGCCACCTATTGTAAGAAAGTGAGAAAAAAGACTGCCAACCTATAACTAGGCACTTTCTCCAGATTCTTCTCCTCCTTGATTCTGTGGATCATGTCCGATTGTTCGTTGTCATACGGCGCCAGCACCAGATAAAGAATCACGCATTTCAGTGCCTGTAAATAAGCAAGCAAAGTAACTGCACAACCTAAGAGATATCTACATTACTACACTTTACCTGACAGCCAGCCATCTAATTCATTTCAACAGTTTCTTCCTACATGTATTCTGACACTGAGCTACACACGATTGCACAAACATTGACGAGCCTGAATTCTAGGTTTCCTTCACGATGGCCTGATGGCAAGCCACCTACCAAACCACTATAAGTATAACCCAGAGATGCCAACACATATTTGAAGCAATCTGTAGTTTCTGGCCATCAAATTAGTAGTTCGAGGGTCACGTAGTGACCTGAGTTTGCTAGAGGGGTCCGGCATGCCCCCCAGAGAAATTTTTGATTCTGAAATGCAATTTCCTGCATTCTGAGGGTCAATAATGACAATAAATTGACAAAATTTTTTTTTTTTCCATTACAGTGAAATTCGTAGTTTGATACAAACTGGTCGTAGTGGTGCAAAAGGAATAGAAATTCGTATAAAATACGGATAAATCGTAGTGGTTGGCATCTCTGAGAACCACAAATGCAACAGTGCAGCATGTCTACATTCCCAGCAGCAGCAGCAGCTGAGCAGTAGACCTCACCTTGTTACGGTTCGTGTCATCGGCTTGAATACACGGAGTGTCGTAGACAGCCTTATAGTACTTGGCGACAGACAGGTAGGAGCAATCATGTAAGTCCAACTCTATCATCAGCTTGTAGTAACGCAACTTCAGTTGCTGCACCTAAACGCAATGAAGAAGCCACGATATACGAGTTGACAGAAGCTGACAGTTTTTCGGGAAAATACCGACAACTCTCCCGAGAGTCCATACCTCTGCGATCTTGTGAGTACAGAATTTAATTCAACGTTGTGCGCGTGTTTATCCAAACTACTGGTCATTTCATTGTCAGAATAAACACCACAGTAATTTGTTTTGTAATCTATAGTTTATAAACTAACTTCAGACTGCGGACTTCATCTTTTCCATGGGAGGGAGATTTGATTAGAAGTTAATTTTCTATCTTTGCCTACCACTTAGCAATAGTAATATTTACATCTTCAGTCGCGTCGTCGAAAAACTTGGTGGACACTTTCTTGCTGATAATAGATGTGCGAATGTAGTCCTTGCGGGCCAATCCGAGACGCATTTGCTCCATGATGAATTCCACCTTCTCTTTCTTGTCCATCGAGCCAAAGGTTTCCACCTACAGACAAATGTTTTAGCCTTTTAAATTTGTCAAAGCAGTCACACTTTCCCACGCACCACAGCAGAAAACATTAATGTCACTTGCGACTATCGTTCCCCACAGTGCAACCACTGAATTTTTTACAGTCGCTGCCGGTGTGGTGATGGCACGCCCGGTACAGCCTAACACGGAGGGATTGCTGGGTACCTGTAGCTCCTGCAGGATGGTTGCGGCGTCGGCAATGTTTCCCTCCTTCTCCTTAATCATGGCCAGCTTGTGAGTGAGGCGTGCGCGCTCAATCTCTACATAGATCTACAACGTAAACGAAAGGCGCACTCAACTCACTCACTCAGCATTTCACTCACTCACTCAGCATCTCACTCACTCACTCAGCATCTCACTCACTCACTCAGCATCTCACTCACTCACCCGACTACAACACGCATCTATCTCCAATGAGTGTCTGCTGCCTTGCGTAAATGAACGAGAAAAACGGACTGGCAATTATACGGATGGAATGTAAGACCTGCATTTAAGAATGCAAAACAAAGAAAAATATCAATAATATTTCGGAAAGAACTACAATTTAAATGCCTATTCTCTTAGTACCAACAATGTGCTAGAGTCATCTTATACACCGACTGTTTTATTTATATACAGAAATATTACACCAGTATGTTTTGAACATAGAATGATGTCGATTATTAGTGTAATGCGGATGCCCCAGTGACAACAATGAAATGCTGGAAAAATATTTCTATGTGCAAAATAACTTAATTAAATATGTACCTTTCCTTTTGTGACAGTAATTAATGTATCTATAAGCTTCAGTTTCGTCTCCATATCTTCCACCTGATCAACATATGTACACGCTTCCTGTACCATCTTTGTAATCGCCTGAAATACGAAAAATTGACTTATTCACTGGAAAACTATTACCTACACATATATGCAACGTATATAAATGCACAACACAAAATATTGCAAACCTGTTTAGGTTGTCCCTTTCGCTTGCTTAGTGTGACAATGTGTTCGTTAAGAGCTGTCCAAGCTTTTTGTCCAAAGCAAACCTTCACAAGGGCTATGAGAACCTTGCTGGTAGAATGCATGTCAGAGGCCTATAAATACAAGCATTTTGTACGTACGGAAAGGATTTGAATACACTTACAGTCAGTGAGGAGTTTACAGTTAAAGAATTGAACATTACATTCAAATTAAATTATTTACCAGATGCTGATTTCAGCAAAAATAATTTTCATATAAAAAGAATTTTTATATATTACATTTTTTTTTAGTTAAATGCCTATCTATATACTCACTGATTTCCATTTTATTTTCCAAGATAATGTGTTGTGATATTCCCTAACTGAAATTCACTATAGCTAACAATGAGTGAGAAATAATAAACCATTTCTGGCTACATATGACTTACAGTTCTAGTTTGCTTCTCCAAGGACATCAGAATCTCAAGGGCATCTGTCAGTTTCCCATCCTAAACACCAATACAAGGACTATAGACAAGCAATCATTTTTCTGTTAAAATATGTTCCATTTCCATATTTTACATATTCGTCACATTCGCACATGCTATTGCTCATGCTTGTATACCATGCTGCTCCATGCAATCACAAAAAGAAGATATCCGAGCCCATTTTTTTTATCAATGCCTAACATAATACCTGTGCAAGTTTTTCACACTCCGGTATCTTCTCATCTACCGCTGTAGTGTAGTCAACCTCCATCTTCTGTATACGGCCTTCATCTGCCATCTTGCTCTGTCGTGTTTCTGAAAGCCTATAGTGTACCCTCGCATTATAATAAAATTCAGAATCACAATACCAAATGTGTTCAGCACATTCTCATCTGATCATAAAGGTTTGAGTAACTTTTCCTTAGGCTAGAACTAGTAATAATAGTAGTGTGCTACTCTGCTAGTGCTAGTCCGCTAGTACAATGACAAATAGAAACATCTTAACCTACAATTTGCTCTTCACTTGTGTGCTCATTCGTCCACACGTTCTCCAGCCTCACTCTCAGCTCATTTTGCACCATCAATTTTCTTTTCCTGCACTCACATCACACAGACAACTACACACTTATTTTGTTGATGCACCCCCCACTTCCAGTCCCAGTATATATGAGACCAGCATCTATTAGGAGTAAATCATTGAAGAAGAACTAGAAATTAGAAGACGACTGTAGCAAAATAACTTTTGTGCATCATTGCATGATCTGTAGACTGTAGCATTAAGCATTTATATTACAACTATCAACTTAGCTTCTTCTCACTTGTACATATAGCTTGTGATACACTATATAACCACGTAATATATGCATGTTCATCAATACTACTTATAATGATAAATTTGCATTAAGCTAACCGTGCCAATGTCATGAAACATTAACACTGGTTGTGCACTTGGCACTGCACCTTATCTTGACTATAGTCTATAGTATTACTACTGGAATAGTAGTAGCACTCACAGGCACTTGAAGCGTTTCAATAAAATATAATGCTAACTAAATACGAAATCTATTTACTACCAAATTCTTAATGTTTCTATACTCTCTTTCACCTATTATTGCCGACAGTTTCCTGTCAATTCCGTCCAAATCCTACGTCCAACCATATACGCTGCCGGCGCCATTGCTTTCACGGCACGACTGTTGCACGCTTACACTAATATATATAGCAGGTAGGAAAGCGTGATCGCAAAATTTGCTCGACGCTCGCTGGATTTCACACGATTACAACTCGAATACACATCCAACAGCTTCCATCTTTGTTTCTATGTGTACATAAATGTTCACTTGTTATAAAAACATACTGTCTCTGTTCGTAACCGAGCTGTGTCACGCGAAATCACACAAAGACTGACAAAATTCTCGCGTTCGCGAACCTTCCACAGTAATGTGAATGGATGTCAGAATCAGGAAACACCTACCGGCGCTCTTCGTTACCTCATTCTTGCGCCGCACTGTTCCAATGGCCTGAGCCAATGGCGAGGCTCGCACGGGAGTTGGAAAGCAGTGCGCCGCCTGCGCGCCGCTTGTAGTCCATAGACTGGCACTCTCTCCCACCTCTCGGCTTAGCTTAGTCACTCGATGGGTAATCGAGGTGGGAGCGAGTACCAGTCTATATAGCCCTGTATTCTGACAGCCATTTACATTACTGTGGAAGGTTCGCGAACGCGAGAATTTCGTGTCTTTGTGTGATTTCGCGTGACACAGCTCGGTTACGAACAGAGACAGTATGTTTTTATAACAAGTGAACATTTATGTACACATAGAAACAAAGATGGAAGCTGTTGGATGTGTATTCGTGTTGTAATCGTGTGAAATCCAGCGAGCGTCAAGCGAATTTTGCGATCACGCTTTCCTACCTGTTATATATATTAGTGTAAGCGTGCAACAGTCGCGCCGCGAAAGCAATGGCACCGGCAGCGTATATGCCATGGTTGGACGTAGGATTTGGACGGAATTTACAGGAAACTGTCGGCAATAATAGGTGAAAGAGAGCATAGAAACATTAAGAATTTGGTAGTAAATAGATTTCGTATTTAGTTAGCATTATATTTTATTGAAACGCTTCAAGTGCCTGTGCCGTGGTAGCACTGTATTGCTACTGTAACAGGAATACGCTCAATGAGTCGTGAATGACATAGCATATAGCTATAATCCTATCCTATATCACTTTGTCAGCATCTCCAAATACTCGGCAATTTGTCTATGTAACCTATAATGAAAAATGGTAAGAACTATTAGTACCTGCGCTTTGTTTTTAGTATTTAAATCATGCAGTAGTGACTTCACTGACTTGAACAAAGTGAGACAACAAGTTTCTTGCTTCAAAAACTGCAATCTTTTACGATTGTGGTTTCAGAAAATAAATGCTCACTTGTCAAAATTATCACGTAAGCAGCGCCACTATCAGCCTTTTTGCCGTGCCTTTATAATTTTGTATAGGGTCTGCTTGCTATGTTTTATACAAACATAAGATTCTAAAATATAAGTTAATGCCGAATCTTTTAATTGCTCTTTATCTTATTGCTTTTTATCGTTACTCGTTAGCACTAGCAGCTGAATCAATTAACAGCACGCGCGCCACGTAGTGTAAGAATCTAAAACTACGAGTAGAAATGAGTCATTCACTTAGTGGCCAGCCATCTTTGATTCTTGCTTTGCTGTACTTTTAACGTTTTGTAGTTTATTGTCGAAAATGGGGCGCAAAAAGAAGAAGTTATTGAAGCCGTGGTGCTGGTATCCTTTATGACATGTTTGTTAAAATAACTGTTAACGTTTCGTTGCAAATTCAACTGGTTTATGTGTACTGTTGCGTTAAATTCTTGACAATGTCAATGACCGACCCCAAAAATTGGGTGATACTAGGGCCTACCGTACTCCATTACTGCATTACTCCATTAGGAGTGTTCCCAACTTTAATGTCATTAATGGTCATAATAACATATACATATATATATATATGGTCATGGTCATATATTAGTTTGTGGTTTAATGTGGTTTGTGGTTAGGGTTAGGGTTAGGATTATCAATCATTAATCATTGACATTAATGATATCAAAGTTGGGAACACTCTAAACCGACCAGGCTCTTCGACTGTTACACGTTGTAGGAGCCTGACACCCTTCCATACGAAATGCCTGGTTGCTTGAAAACAATGGATGTTCTTATGTCTCTTTTTGTACGCGAAAATTCACGAACTTTCGATACGTATTATGGGATATCTATTGGAAAATGGCGGCGTTTGTTCGGATTTTCATCTTATCAATTCTAATAATTACTCGCTGACACGTAAATACATGCTCAGTGATAGCGCACATATAATAAATCGAGGCGTGGAAGTACAGAGAAGCGATAAGAATCATAAAAAGTTAGATAATTTTACGTTTAATAGCAGCGCTCGTCATGCCGAACAATATTCTATTGCGTCGGCTTGTGACCCTCTCACCAACGTAGTGTTAAGCGAGAAGGAAACTTGTGGCTAGGAACACTCCTAATGGAGCGTTAGCCCAAAAATTGAAAGATTTTCGTCGGTTTTGATATATAAAACCCAATTATATAGTTGGTTTCGTAGATCATTGGTTCACCTCTCCACTGGTGAGTGTTGTGAAAGCACACAATGCAGATTGCAGATATCTGTGCACAATCCTAGTTTCTACCCTGCAAATGTACTACCCTGCAACTAATCCCCGGGTGCTAAATTAGGATTGGGTGGATTATCTGTGCTTCACTGTTTGTGCGTTTACATTTATTCCTGCGTTACTGGGAGTAGGGGATCATCTCAAAAATTTCTGCCAAGGCCAATGTAGAAGCAAATTAATGTTGCCTCATTTTATAATTTTCTTTAACACGTGTCTAGGTATTGTAACAGGGAATTTGATGATGAAAAGATCCTGATTCAACACCAAAAGGCAAAACACTTTAAATGTCACACATGTCATAAGAAACTATATACAGGACCAGGATTAGCAATCCATTGCATGCAGGTAAGAGTGTTATGATCATGCATCTAAAACAATAATGTTACAGCAAAGATTTATTGATGCTTAGAAATAACTTCTGTAGTCATAGCTCTTTTTAGTGTAATGTAAAGCTGATATTTTTAACCATTCAAATAGAAAAAAGTGAGATTTATAATGTTTTAGATTTCTCACTTGTTGTATGCTTTGTGAGTTTGCGAATGATTAATGCATGTTTATTTCATTCAAACTGTTTTACCATAAATTTCAGGTCCATAAAGACACGATAGACCAGGTTCCAAATGCTATTACCGGACGCACAAACATAGACATTGAAATATACGGCATGGAGGGAATTCCCGAGGAAGATTTGAAGTCGCACGAAACTGACAAACAGGGGAAACGTAAATATGTTTTTTTTTTGCTATTCGAAAATTTTGAAATTTGTCATGCTTCCCTCAAAGTGTATGTTCTGAGCCGGCATGCTCCAAAACCAAGTGTGTTCGTTTAGGCCACAATTAAACAAATATTTGTTTGCCCTCACCCGACCCAGGCTGAAAAGTTTGGGTAGGTAGGTAGCCTTTTTTTTGAAGGGGTCTTTTTACAAATTCAGCATGGTGTCTACATGCTCGGGTGTGCTTGTGTGGAGATACCTTTTATGTTGAATGTTTGTTTTGCTTGGTACATGTAATGTATTGCCTACAGATTTATATAATGTACACTGATACAATTTGTAAAAAAGAAAGAAAAAAATATCAATAAAATTGTTTGGGTCGGTTCCTTGTTGACGGGTCGGTGGGGTGAGGGCAAACAAACAATATTTTTATTATGGCCTAAGGTGTGGTAGGAAGGCGTGATACAGTTAGTAATTTGTGTCTATTGTGTATGCAGCCGAAGAGCCAGCCCCGAAGAAGACGAAGCAGGAAGCCGTGCAGATGACGAGCCAGCCTCAGCAGCTGGGCCTGTTGCCGCCGCCAATGATGATGTCAAGCGGGCACATGGGCATGATGCAGCAAGGTCAGATGCAGCAAGGTCAGATGCAGCAGGGTCAGATGCCGCCCGGCCCGATGTCGATGGGTGGCATGATGCCCATGATGGGACACATGGGAATGCCACCGATGATGGGACCAGGGTACGTGCTGACGACACGACGCGTGGGAGCGTATACTGGTTCAGTCGCATTCTGCGTATGTTCTGCATAGGAACCATGCTCACGTTGTCAGAAACGTCGTAAATAGTTGTGACAATCTTGAGTCTAGCTATTATTGATGTTTTATTTTTTTAACAGACCATAGGCTTGTCTGTTTACATTTCTAACGAACGCTTCTTGTCCCCTTCTTGTTGATCACAGGATGCCGATGAACATGATGATGATGGGGATGCAGGGCATGCAGGGCATGCAGGGCATGCAGGGCATGCCGCCGCAGCGTCCAATGGGCATGCAGCCGATGCTCCCGCAGAGGGCGCCTATGGGCATGCGCGCACCGAGCACGACGTCGATGATGCCAATGCCGACGGCAAGCAGCAGTAGCGCACCGGCGGCCATCACCAACGTCCCGCTGCCGCCGCAGATGCAGCAGCATCAGCAGCATCAGCAGCATCAGCAGCAACAGCAGCATCAGCAGCAACAGCAGCAGCAACAAACGCACATGCAGCCACCGCCGCCACGGCCTCTGTTCCCAGCTGCCGCACAGGTACCCGGTTGCATCTTCCTCACACTTTAATTTGCTAGTGCGTCGGACTCGGTGAGGTTGTAGAATGGCTCATTCGTCCGTGCATTGTTTGTTTGTATGTGCTTTGTGTTTGGTTTGTTTGCTTTGAAGGTTGACGTTGTTATGAGAGGAGCACATAGTGAATTGTTGCTGGATTAGCGCAGCTACTATACAGCGCTGAATTGTTGCCGTGTTTTTACTGCGTCAGATGGCTGCTGTTACGACGAGCTCGACACCAGTGGGCGCTGACTTCAGGCCGCTCGCGACGGTCGCGTCGGTGAGCTCTGCTCCCCCGCCAGTCCCCACGATGGCGCCACCTCCCCCACGACACACATTCCCAGCGTACTCAGCTCCGCCCGCGGTGGCACCGACGCCGCCACCTACGATATCTAAGGTGGCAACGACCGCCACAGCTAGTTCAAGTGAGTTGAGCATACTAGTGTACTTGTTTTGTTCATTTGGTAGTATATAGTATTTATTAGTTATGTTAATTAGCTAGTTAGCAAATTAATGACTTATTGACTGTAACATGTAGTGTGCGAGAGTAGACTTAGGTTGCTCAATGTTGTATTTTTTTGTAGACTCGGGGATAAGTAAGCCTTCCACTGTTGCATCGAGTGGTAGCAGCAGCAAGATTATTCATCCAGATGAGGACATTTCACTGGTACGTCACAACTCGGTGTTGCTATTAGTATTACATGTGTATCGGCATTTGTCGGCGAGTGGCTGGTGGCGGATGACTTTGTAATCTAGGTATTTGGACTTAATAATATCGGTTGACCCAGCTGTCACCGGTTGTGGTGAACTTGCACCAGTCAATTAATGCTGACAACTTCGGAGATTGATCAGTGCAGGCCAGTCAGTCCATAGCGAGTCGACTAAGCCTGAAATGGACTGCTGTTGCGAGTGCTCATTGTTTGATGCCTCGAATCTTGCTTGCTGATGCGATGTCGTTGCTTTGCTACGCAGGAGGAGAAACGTGCAACCTTTCCCAAGTACCAGCTGAAGCAGCAGCCGATGATACCCGGGATGCAACCGCCGATGCCACCGCAGAGCATGATGGGTAACAAGCCAATGATATCGTCGGCCGGCAATATGGGTAATGCCCCTATGATGAGGCCACCTGGTGGCCCTCAAGGTAAGTGGTTGAACTGGCCGTGCTACGGGCAGTCAAACGGTATGTACCGCAGAATTTACGCTCGCCTACTTGCAGAGCCGTTGTTTGCTAATACTAAAAGTGCATAACTTTAAAATCAAGGAAATTTACCCATTTATAATGCTCATGACTGCTAAAATTCGCCATCAGAATCTATATTTTTTGTATGATTTTCCGTATTTATGCTGAAATATCAAGTTAAATGCGGTTTATTAAGTTTTTTTGAATGAGTAATTAAAAAACGACATGGTACAGTTGTCTTGTCTATGCACTGTCTTGCTAAAATAAGGTAGTGTTGACAATTTTTAGTAGTGATATATTACTGCTAGTATTAATTAACACTGCTAGGTGCTAGGTGTCACCCCGTCAAGTGGAATTCACACATTGGAGATTCATCCGTAGAAGTGAGGTACGCGAAGGCTGGTGCTTCGTGCGCACCACTGGTTATCATGTTGCGTCGTGGTGTTACGAGAGCTCATCGTGTCATTGCAGGTCACATGCCCTCCGCGACCATGCACTACGGTGCCGCACCAATCCGCTACAACCAATCAATGACGCGGCCGCCGATGGACCATCAAGGGGCTAGCCGCTACTGACAGCAGCCACATACCACAAGGATGTGTTCAGGTTTCCCGTGTTAAATAAGCGTAGACTAATTAAGGCACGTCGTTGTTCGTGTGCCGTGTGTCGTCGCCGTCAACCCCTGGAGGGCACCGTCGTAGCTGCCGCGTCGCAGCGAAGGTTAGGCCAAACGAATAGTGTGAATGGCGGGGGGGGGGGGTCGTTTGGGGCGCGCGCGAGAGAGAGCAAGCGTGGCGGGAACCGGTGTGGTTTGCAGGTATGTCACACTATCGCTGCACGCAGAGGATAAGTCGTCTGTCGGCGATGAGGTCGTCGGTAAGACCCGTAAGCACGCCTGCCGAGCGTGAGCCGTATGATTGCACGTGTGCCTGGACTGGACGATTTATTCTCTCCGTCGGCTTGTCGGAGTCCGCGCGAGAGCCATCGGTCGTAGACCGTATAATCAACCGGCCGCTAACTCCGGCGTACGTGACGACGCGCGCGTACTGTTTCTCGCCGTGACTGAGAGTCATGCACGGTTTTGCGATGATTAACTGTTAATTTTGCGTGGTTTCTGGCTGCGCTCGAATTTCATCGGTCCAGTCATTTTGCACAACAGGGCTAGAGACAGCGTAAGCATTATTACATCCAACCAGGTGTAGCCCAGCGGATAGTTCCTGCCAAACAAAGTAGGTGAAAGCTGGTAGGTTTTGTTACATTGTCGTAGATGAACTCTGGTGCATTTTGAGCAGTGGAGATGACCAGGTTTGTGTAGATACCTTGTTTAATCATTCGTACGTACATATGTATCGTTTCGGTTAGCATTCAGGTGTGATTGCATTCATATCGCATTGAGTGGAAGCTCACACAGCTTGCAACACAACGTAAAGGTAGGCAGGCCTTTGTCCGTAAGTAATAAGTGGTACCTTAAGCTTTCCCTCCCGCAAACTAGCAGGTTTCCTGAAGATGCCTGCTAGCTCCATACTTACGTGCATAATGTTTAACTGCTTAACGACCTGTTTATCAATGTTGTTTACGTTTCTATTTGGCATTTCTAATGCTTATGGCAAACTGAATAGAAAGTAGTTTTAGCTTAGAACATGCGCTAGAACGTGCTGTATACATTTTTACACAGTCGTCTCCCACCGGCCGTCCTTACCATCAGGTTGGTTATTGTCGCGATTGTAGTTAGAACCTGAGATTGTGTGAACTTTACTGCCAATAAAGTTTGTTTTAAACAACCTGTCGTCACTGTTTGTTAATCGGACAGTCTGCCGTCTCTGCATGTCTCCCAGCGCACGGCACAGCCGTACTCATACATTTACGGCGTAGGAGCGTTTCACAGCGCCCCCTAGCGAGTGCTGTTGGACGAGAGTGTCCCCAACCACGGACGTGCGCTTTGGGCGACGCCGAGGGGTGGGGGCGGCGGTTGCAGAGCGTGGTGTTGGTCCAAGGCGCACGCGCGGTGTGGCGAAACGGTGTGAACAACTGTGACTACTTGCAACTCTCCCGTAACGGGCTTCAGTAGCTTGCTGCTAACGTCACTGAGGTCGTGTGACATGGACCTGTCTTCTGTCCAGCACAGAAACGTGCGAGTGCTAGTGACAGGGAGTACAGGCTGCATGTGTTTCACAGCTAACTACGGCTGTTGGACTTGCCAGTCCCCAACCAGCACTAGCTGATTGGCGAAAATGCGTATCGTTTGCTTTGCGAAAAACGCCGTGCCTTGAACCTTGCGAGTGTAAATGGGCGGATGTGCACTGATGCTCGCTGCTACACAGATTGTCTGTGCCGATTTTTCTAGGTTAACGGGACCTAGGCTGCCGAGTGTCGCTCACGCAGGGACGGCGGTCCGAAGACGGATGTAGTCGTTCGAAGGTGTGACATTTCTTGCGTTCCTCGCGCTCAGTTTCACAGCAGTCTTCCCTGCTGTTGGGTCACCGCCGACCCCCAAACCGTTCGGGGCGCCGGTCTCCGCGGGCTAACCTGCGCGAGACCGGGCACGACGTTTCGGCGAACTGTACCAATCCCTTGCCCTCTCTCTTGCTTTCGTCTGACTTGTCTCTCGTTTAACAGCGTACTCAGAATTCACAGCGCTCGGCTGTTGGACACGCCGTTGTCCCCAAACTGCGCTCTCACGGCGAGTTTGGCGAAGGTGCATGTTCGCGTCGCTGTGTTTGCAAATCGTCCCCCGGTGACGTGAGCCGACCGTCAGTCGTGCAAATGCTGCGTTTCGTCTGTTCACAGTCTTATCATCGAGCAGAAACGTTAAGGCCTGTTGGTGCTTGTAGACACGGGAGCCTGTGGTCATCACAGGTAGATGAGCATACATTCTTAATTAGTTATCATTGTGTATCGTAGCGTGCACATAGGTGTCTAGTGCGAAAGACACTGTACAAGAAATTCGATTACAAACATTATTTACAGGTGGTCTAGATTACGTTTTTATCCAAAAAGCATGAAACGATAAGAGATTATTTAAATGACATACAATCTAATAAGGTAGTGTATAAGTTATGTACTTACATAAAAACAGTTATTACAGTAATACTAAGCGTTTCAGAGGGCATTTATTCTAAAACGCTCGTAACAAAATTCTGTATCAGGAGTCTTTACATTCACCTACATTTTATAGTTCAAGATGCATTTCAATGGGAATTTTTATCAACTGAAGTATGTATATAGTCCTCTTATTAGCACAATTATTAATGCAAGTAAGCAGTGTCTAACATATTTATTTAACAAGATGCATCACCATAACATGGTAATATTGGAAGAGAAAGGAGTTCAGCAGAAAAGTTGGTACGTACCATTTACCTTGTGTAACTGAACGCTTGACACTAATTCCATGAACACATTGCATACACTGCATAAGTAGGTATTTCCTCGGGGGGTTGGAAACAGGTTAACGGCCCAGCGGCATTTTTTAAAGCGCTCCCTTCTAGCTTATTTGGCAGCTGGTTAATTGAGTGGTGTTACCCGATAATGTAGACTAATACAGTACATGAAAGTAGATTATGGAGGTAGATTACTGTAATGATAATTGCACGGTTGAAAGCATAAGCACGTTTGCAGGAGTTTGGCTAACCAATTTTTGGCGAAGGGGTACAAAACCACGTGTGGTGGAGGAAAGCATGCGTAATGTAATGTAATGTATCTACATTTCTCTTGGGAGTGGTAACTGTGCCCCCCCTCCCTGCTAGCTATGGCCTCGGACTTCTGCGCAGAATAGGTAGACTCAGTAGAGCTTCGCAATGGTTGGGGTTGGTAAGAAAGATTGTACATAGTAAATCCACATCAGCAACCCATCTTTTCATTCACTTGTATTGTTTCCACCAGATGGAGCTGTGCATCCAAATAATGAAGTTCGTTGAGTGTAAAATGGGGGTGTCTATATTCAAGCCGGTACGGGAGATTACGGTACGCATATATATTTGCTAATATATTGACTAATCGTGCGTCAATAAACTCAATATTTACAGAGAGTATAGCTATGACATGTGTCTATAGGTATCTAGAATATATTATGCAAATGATCTCCCGTACCGGCACCCCCATATAGGCCCGTCGGAGCCGCTACGGTTGGTACGGGATTGACCGTACCACTTTTCAGCCTAAAAAAAAAAAGGGAAAAAAAGAGAGATGGAGAGGGAGAAGGAAAGAGAAGAGAAAATGAGAGAGAGGGGGAGAAGAAAAGAGAAGAGAAAAGAAGAGAGAAGGTGGGAGGTTGATAAATGTCATGATCATAGGCTTATCACCAGCTTAATAGAAGAACACGAACATCGAAGTGACTTTGCCTTTTTTCCATTATTATGAAACGCATTATCACATGAACCGAAGAACAGCATATATGCCACAAAACTTTTTCATCCAATCGCAAATCTTAAAAATAATATCTTTAAGAAAGTGATAAATTAAGCTCGCCACCTGACCGTGAAACATCCTATTTATAGGTTAGGGTTAACAGCTTGACCTCAATTTCTATTTAATGAAGAGTAATTTGTCCTTTTCTGCAGTACAATAAAAGGATAAAAAAAAAATCACTAAAGTGTGCTAAATTGCATGATTTGCACCCCCAATTCCAAAAAAGTTCTTACCGAGGGTTCTCACCGCTCCCACACCCTCCCCCGCTCGATCGCTCTGCTCCCTCGCATCGCTTCCTGTCCCGTAATCAAATTTCTAAAATCTGGTCACCCTGTCTGCCCCTTCAAACCTCGCTGGGGGTTTTACCCCCAGACTGCCACTGAAACCGTACCACTTTAAAATTCCTTCCGACGGGCCTGCCCCCATACTCTGTGAATATTGAGTTTATTGACGCACGATTAGTATATTTAGCAAATATATGCGCGCGGAAGTGATAACAAATGATTAAAATTTTCTAAAAATCTAGATACCTATAGGCACGTGCGGTGTCATAGGCTATCCGTCTCTAGTGAATATTGATTTATATTGACGCAGCGTTAGTCAATATATTAGGCAAACTAATATGCGTACCGTAATCTCCGTACCGGCTTGAATATAAGGCCTCGTCTACACTAACGAAATTTAACTGCGAGTTAGCGATTATGTAGGCGTCTACACGACAACACCTGTACGTGCGTGCGTACGTACGTCTGTGTGTACGTGCGTGCGTCTGTGCGTGCGTACGTCTGTGTGTACGTGCATGCGTGCGTCTGTGTGTACGTGCGTGCGTACGTCTGTGTGTACGTGTGCGTGCGTGCGTACGTCTGTGTACGTATACGTGCGTACGTCTGTGTACGTATACGTGCGTGCGTCTGTGTACGTATACGTGCGTGCGTCTGTGTGTACGTATACGTGCGTACGTCTGTGTACGTATACGTGCGTACGTCTGTGTACGTATACGTGCGTACGTCTGTGTACGTATACGTGCGTACGTCTGTGTACGTATACGTGCGTACGTCTGTGTACGTATACGTGCGTACGTCTGTGTACGTATACGTGTGTACGTATACGTGCGTACGTCTGTGTACGTATACGTGCGTACGTCTGTGTGTGCATATACGTGCGTGCATATACGTGCGTGCGTACGTCTGTGTATGTATACGTGCGTGTATTTGTCGTTACGATGATTGTACGTACTATATTGTAAGTACAAGTGTTGCCGCCTATCGTGGAGTTATGTACTATTCGCCAACTCGAGTTGAGCGTCTATACGGGGCTTTAACTCGAGTTAGCTTAACCTCGATCGACTGGCAGGCGAGGCTATAGACACCACCGTGTAAAATCATGGAATAGCAAGTAAGCAAGTATTTGATAGTAAAACTAACCGTAATATATATTGCTATTTTTATTACAGAGGTAGTCCTTACATGCTTGCTGTTAATTACAACCTACTGTTGCACCGTTTTTACCTACATGATTTAGCATTTTCGAATAAACAGGAAATGGCTTTGCATTGTGTGCAGGAGTTTCTATTGTATTGTGGAATTATTAAATTCTGCAAAGACAGTGTACTGGCCAAGCTTTTAATGATGAGAATGTTGTTACTTTATCTGTGTTTGTCTGTACTTTACCTATGTTTGTCTTTACTCAGTGTGCATGTGCATTGTTTTAATAAAGCAATAATCTGAGTTTATCAACATGCTTTTTCATGTCATTTTTCCCTTCTCACATGGACAACACTTTCTACAACACATTGGTCCGATATACGTAATCTCGTCCAAATTAATGATCTTGTTACATATCAGGCCACCACACTTAATCATCCATACTAACAGCAGTTGTCAGAAAAATCTCCAAGCAAGTTGTTACTATGTGTTCTGATAATTGTCTAATACTGGCATTACGATGTGATAAGTTTTCCCTGTACGTACTGCAAGAGCAAACGGCACAAGAAAACAATTCTTCGATAATTGTCATTCACTGTTTATTACTCGTGTGTACACTACAAGTAAACGTGTGAATGTGGAATTAGTTGCTCGCGAGGCTTAATCCTCGTCCCCTCCGTCATCGTCAGCAGCGGCGCCGGTACCCTTCTTCATGTTCTTCCTCTTCACGCGTCCTGGACGTCCACCACCGAATGGCGAGCGCAGAGAGAAGTCTATATGCTTCTGTGAGTCCAATCTCACAATGAAGGATGGGATGTTGACCACCTGCTTGCGCACCCTGGTGAACAAAAATAACAAGTGATACATTTTACACTGCTCTACAGCCTTCCTTTGAAGAGCACATATTCTGTTCACTGTACTATTTAGAAATAGCACAAATGGACTATAGGTTTTGCAATGCCAAACAATGACACTATGGAACTTGTGTTGCACTGCATATGTCATAGAATTCAGAAGTTCTCAGATTGCAGCATTAATCACTCGAGGTCATACCAACCCATGCAAGCGGACTGCGTTTCATCACCTTCTGAACGACCAACAACAGTTTTAATAATGATCATCAACTGTCAGTTACGGTACCTACCACTACACTGGTAACAGACAACCTAGAAGAGTAGACGTTGAGCCTAGCAGCTCAAGTGGCCTACAGAGTTAACGTGGCATTCTGAAGTGGCTGCCCGTGACTAGGATGCCACTACCGCATTGGTCGGTCGCTGGGCTAACAGCAGCAACCAACTTGCGTACTTCACAGCTCCACGCAAACAGACGTGGAGCGAGTGCCCCAGTGGCCTGATCATGAACATATCTCATACTCGAGTCACCTGCACGCGAAAAGGGAAATTCTCATCAGCGATCGCCAGTACATTGGAGACTGTATCGCCTCAATTTCACCGAATGCGGAAGCGACTTCATGGCCCGCGGCACCCCAACCCGGACTTGCAGTCTTGCGACACCCGCGCTATGTGGTTCACTCCAGCCACGCATTACTCCCACGCATGTGCTGCCCCTGCGAGGGCGGTTGTAGTATGTATGTACCTGATGTGTCGCTGGCGAATGAGGACACGGGCATGGTGGATGGACTTGGCGAGGCCGAGCTTGAACACCTGCGTCTGCAGGCGTCGCTCGAGGAAGTCCTCAATGCGCAGACCCAGCACGTAATCGAGCTTCATGCGGCTTTCGTCCAACACACCGACGCGCACCAGACGACGCAGCAGCGCATTACCTAGCAATACAAATGTGCGACACCGCGTGAGCCTATCCCCCAACATTGCGTAGCACCAGACGCATGCTATCTAGCAACATGGCATTTCCCAACAGGCCAAAAGCAATCAATGTTAATCCAATTGCATAGAAGACATCAAAACACCACAGATTTTACAGATTTATTATATTTGTGCACTGATAATTTACACCTTACACTCGCTGGCCCTTACATTTGATGCCAGCGCCAAGAATGTTGAGAAGTCAGAGGATAGCGACCAGGAGACAAGTCACAACTGGGACCGAAGGTAGGACTTCACACTTTTGCTCTACCTCTATTTGGTAGCGGTCATGGCCACAAACAAGACCATCCCACGGAACTAGAGGGTTGCGCTTAGACCACACGATAATGAAATGAAGACGTTAACCAATAACTCGTTCGAACAGCGTAACTTGAAATTCACACACTTAAGTACCTTCAAATAACCTTCTAGCATCCTTCTCCTCTAGAGTAAGCAATTCTCTGGCTCCCTTTCTGATCTTAGCCAGAGTATACTTTACTCTCCATACTTCTCTCTTGTTACGAAGCCCAAATTCACCTGTAGGGATGGCAGTAATTAGTAAATCGGTATAAGTTATATGAACGCATTACATAGCAAAACTCCAATATTAACATCACGCAAAAAAGGAACCAATGTGTCTTCTATGATCAGGTCCTTACCAATAAGCTTCAACTCCTGGTCCAGACGCTCCTTTTCGAAGGGACGTCTTGGAGTGACGTATGTCTTACTGTGTACCGTTCTTATTCGCGGCATTTTGTGTTATGGCTGCAATGAGAATGAAACCACAAACCGTTTAAACGACTCGAAGATAGTGTTAGACCTTGCATACAACCTACCCAAGACTAATAAACTATGCCACTTGTTGGCGCCCGACACACCCGATTTCCTGCCAAGATGGCAGGGTTTTCATTTTAGAGTAAAATGTTGGAGTAAAAACGTACCAACTTGTCAGTTTTACCAGATTACCGTATATAATCGCGTAATAACCGCGGGCGCTTATAAGCCACACCTCAATTTGAATCGGGTAACCAAGTATTGCGCCTAGTTCAGGTATAAACCGCACGTATAGTTTTGTCTCTCTTTTATACAGATTCATAAGCAGATTATGAGCACATGACATGTTTGAAGAGTCCTTATACAAATTCAAAAATATTTCAATCATAGTTAATACTACATTATCAAAACATTTAGGCAAACACGATTTATGCATTGATTTACTGAACGTTAGATTCACCCATTATCGCCCCCGCGAGTGACAAGACTCGATCGATGAACAAATATTTCTCTTCGCGGTATGGCGCACTTATAAACCGCAGAGCAAATACAGGGTTGAAATCTGAGGCCAAATTTGCAGTTATTACGCGATCATATACGGTACTTCAGATTACTTCACAGCTATGCATGTATTGCAGTTTTCTGCCACCATGTCGCCAGTTGTGAAGTTATTGCGTAAAAATACCAAGTTCAAGCGGTAGTACTGAACACTGAACAGACTATTTTACTCTACAATGAAAGCTACTCTACATTTCTGGAGAAAATGCTTCATAGATGGAATGTGGGCGTGGCCTAGTTTAATATTAGGTACTAAGGTAGGCTAAGTGCAGGATGTAGCAGATTAACCTATGCTCTTGTCTCACAGCAAGGGTAAAGGGTTCATTGATATAAGCGCTGACCACAATTCACTTTCGCAATGTGCGACGATGCGCAAATGAAATTTTGACAGCTCTTAGTCTTAGTACTCTTAGTCTTAGTCTTACCACAGGCACTTGTGACTGGCTGGTCGAGGTTCGATAAATAGCAACCTCGTTCTGCGCCTACCGTAGTGTGTATAACAGTGTATATGAGAGAAGGGATGAAACTAAATTTACCGGAAGTTTGCAGGCGACTTAGAACATGCGTCTCTATAGCTAAATTCCAATAAAAACCATCACATCACTTACGTACCTCGATCGGGGAGCCTTATTTATTCCATTGCTGATTACATTGTGCCATGACGAAGCTGTAGAAGTACAATTTGGAGAGAAAATCTGTGCGACAAGCGTGAACCTCACCAACTGCGAAACGGAAGTCGACCAGATGCTTTTAAAAAACGCAATCTGATTGGTCGTACGGTACCGTAGGTACGTAAGTGATTAGATACAATAATGTAACCCAACACAAGAGTAGGGTTACATCGCGAGCCTATTCTTTTCTTTGGAGGAGCCCCTAAGTGATTCACTCAAAGGCTCCTCCAAAGAAAATAGGCTCGCGTTGTAACCCTACTCTTGTGTTGGGTTACATTATTGTATCTACGTAAGTGATGTGCCGGTTTTTATTGGAATTTAGCTAGTCTAGAGACGCATGTTCCAAGTCGCCTGCAAACTTACGGTAAATTTAGTTTCATACCTTCTCTTATATACACTCTTATACACACTACGGGCCGGCGCAGAACGGGGTTGCTATTTATCGAACACCGACCAGCCAGTCGCAAGTGCCTGTGTGTAGTCTTACATCCTTGGCCTTGCACTTGGGCTTGGGCCGGGTAAAGCGTAAGTTTGACTTATCTTGTAATACTTGCCGGTTTTCCCATATTTGGTAGCAAATTCCTATTGTTAATTATAAACTAGACAATTAAATTACACGACTGGGGCATACGGGTTTCATTAGTAACACAAAATCGCTGAACTATACGCAAATTACTTTCCCGAATTAACAACCAAACCTCACCTATCGCTGCCACCGCATGGAAAGAAGGAATGAGGTCTGTACGTGACGTCACTAGCGTATATTGTTCCGCGTGTCCCACGTGTTACGTTTTAACACGTATTATGCAGAAGTTACTTTACCAGTTATTTACAACCAACGTACCATTATTTACAAATAATGAAATAAAGCTATACATTTATGCTTTTTTATGTTTTATTACTATATTCTTAATAGAATAAATAACACGAACTACTTTATTGGAATAATTTAGTGTAACGCGTCTTTAGGTACATCGCTTCCCACAAACCATTGCGCAAAAGTTGACAAAATGAAAGTAGCGAGGGAAATTTAACTGGATGCCTAAGTCGGTAAGTACTAAGTGGTCATAAAACAGCAGGATCACTGTCGATATTATATTTTAATTGTCTTCCTATGTTATAACTCGCTAAAGGTCCGTTATATCGTCTGTCGCAGTACCTGCAGTGGCGTTTCTTATAACGCGTAACCACCTCAGCCTCGGCTCAGCCAGGCACCTGCAGCTGCACAGTGCACAGTGCGTGTAAACAAAAAATACTTGTTGCCCATGACAACACTCAACAGCTCCGCTCGCACAAGTTGCGCATTACCAAAGACCCTATTACACTATTACTAATAGTATATTATGTAGAGGGTCTTTGGCATTACTACAATATATATCGTATATATTATAATATTAATATATAAATTTTAATTTATAATATTAAAGGGATCCTTTACTCTACTCAGTACTCTTTAGGTTTTAGGATTATTTTCAGTTAATTTAGGTTAAAATTACGCTATATAAAAAGTTTCATGGTTCAATCACCATTAGAAATATTTTTAAAAAATGTTTTAAAACTAACGGCTACAGTCTACAGTTTGATTACAACGACGGTGGCGCCACTGAACGCGCACGATCTGAAAAGTTGCGCAAAAACGAATTTTCAGCCAAGGGCTACAGACCGAGGGTGTTTCTTATTTATTAATTTAAAAGCAAAAGTATTGTAATATATTATAAACGACATATAGTTTCAGTTATATTATGGATAAATTTGTCCTAAAATGAACATCGTTCGGTTAAATAGCATTTAGGTATAAATATAATTGCATCTTTGTGATTAGCCCTCGGTCTGTAACGTGCAAAATATATTGGGAAAGGCGCAACTTTTTCAGGGTGGCAGCACGGTTGCGGGTGTCAATGGCGCCATTTAAATTTTATAGCGTTGATGTATAATTACTTATAACAATTAAATTGGGTATCTGGTAACAAGTACGTGTGGGTATAGACGATTTGTTATACAGTAAGTACAGTTGTATGCAGTAAAATCTTAGAGTCTAGTATCCCTTTAATAAGTACGAGACCATTTTTGCAAAATAAATAATGTGCACAAATTTCGGTAGTACCCGGTACGTGATAAAATTTAACACAAAGTTAACACATTCCCATGACTGGGCCATGTCCATGGATCATTGGATGATGGCCATGGCCATGGTGAACATTGAAACGTTAATAATGATTAATAACAGATTATACGTTCCCATGCATGTTGAATTAGTCATTAGATAATAGATTGTCAAGAATACACGTTTGCATTGATTGATTTGATGATGTCACTGACACTGACAGTGCTGCTAGTTCCACACACTTACACACCTACAATTGAAAGACATATAGCTTGTGCTATATTACGTACATTTATAATAACTAAATAAGTATTATCATAATAACATGATATATGCTGTTATTGCTAGGAATGGCAAGAAGACGACTAGAGGCAGCTTTGCAAGTTGGTAAAGATATCGAGAACAAGTCAGTGGATTTCACTTCTATTGGAGTAAGACATGAGATTTCAGTGTCACGAGAACACAAGGGTGTGTACAGCCTCCAGTTTAATTATGACAGCAGCAGTCTGGCCGTGGGGTTGGGATCCGGCTGCATACAGGTAACTATTTGAGACTAAATCAGCAAAATAGACAAAGACAAGACTAAACTGCTGGATTTTATATTATGAAGACAACATACTCTTCCGGTTTATTATAATATTTTAAAACTATATATATATAATATGTAATTAGGGAGGTGTAATAGCGCTGAGACTATGATCACATGTCACAAAGCTTGATGGGCAGCGTGTTGATACACTGATAGCCCAACACTGTTGAGAGACTGAACGTCGATACACATAATAACTATTGCATAATACCGTTAAAACATGACCTTTTATTGGAGCCGTATGGTACTTTTTATGGTCCTTTCTTGACACCCGTAGCCCGTAATTAAAAACAATTGAAATTTGTATAATCTTTAGTTTTGTATTTGTAGATATACGACCCGAAGACCGGTAGGTTAGATAAGACCTTTAAGAAGCCGCTGTACCTGAGTTATCCTGTGATGTCACTGCGCTACAACCCGAAGCGCCAGGACCTGCTCTATGCTGCCAATGCCAAGGGAGTTGTCCTTTCCTGCAAGCCTGACGACGAAAGCTGTGCTGAGATCATTAGCGGTGAGACAGAGAATAACTAGCAACTAGAATTAGCAACCAACTAACCAACCGTGTGTGTTGAGTTGACGGTTATGGCTTTTCAGCAACGTAGACGCCAGTACTGTGAATGTAGACAGTGCTGTAGACAGCAAGCAGCTGATTCTTGCACCCTACCTAGGGGGTGTTTAGGGGGTATGCTCCCCCTATAAAAAAATTTTGAAAATGTTTACGCTATTGTATCATATTGTTGCAGAGAAGAACAATGAGATTAATGCTCTCGACTTCAGCGCAGACGGTTTCAGCTTTGCGACGGCGGGAAAAGATCTGAGCATCCGCATTTACGACACCAACACGAATAAGGTGCTCGTTTGCTTTTGACGTTGACACGACCGCACCTCGCGCCTGATACTCGTGTTTGACGCTGAATCTGAAAAGCTGTACTTAATAAATTCGAATGGATTCAATTGTTTTAATCACAACTGACCTATTCACGAGGCGTGATCAACATGCAGCTTTAGCCAATTTTAAAAACAATGCTTAGTAACGACATCTGCTAGGTCGCGAGAACTCGGCGTGCACCGCATACAAACTTGGTTACCTTGATTAAGCTAGCAACAGTATTCATAGGGAAGGGACCGTGGTCTCGCTCAGGCAGATAGGTTGATTGTTGAGCCCTGGCCACATCACACATACGTTAGCGCAGACCGCTTGCATTTCTGCAGCTGCATCATGAGTACGATGGCTACCACCCGGTCAAGCACTCCGACAACACGTTCAAGGGCCACAGCCAGCGCATATTCGCGGTGCGCTACCACCCCGAGAACAACTACGTCTTTCTCACCGGTGGCTGGGACAACTGCGTGAAGGTAGAGGGCGCTGCTAACGGCATGCGGGATGCTAGAAACATCGGCGGCGGCGACACACGCATGTCAACGAAGTGTGACCGCATTGTGTGAATACCAGCTATGTCGACTTAATTTGATCACTATGGATACAGATGCTGCGTAACATTACAACGTGGTCGATTGCGACGCTGCAGCGTGTTGTTGTCTGCTGTAGGCAACGTATTAACCAGCGAGCCGTGCAGCCGCGATTTGGACGCGTCAGTTTTAAAACTGCACGGCCAAAAAAAAATTTAAAGGAGAACCCCCTCTCATACTCTCCCTCCCCCCGTGAATGCCTACGGCGGTCTTGGCTGAGACACACAAAAATTGCACTCCCAAATATTTTTTCTGCACTCCCACAATACTCATTCCTGGCTAATACCCTGGCTGTAGGTGTGGGACAGCAGAACGCGGGATGGGGTGGAGCGTCTCATCACTGGCCCACACATCTGTGGAGACAGCCTCGATGTAAAGGTAACTAATTGTGCACACATGTGCCGTGCTCTAGTACTATAGCTCTTCGCTTCGCCGCAGGGCGGAGCGAAGGGTAGCCTATAGTACTAGAGCTAACACGTGCCGTGCTCTCATGTCGGCTCTTATTCTTTCTTTCTGCAATGTTATTTTCATACTTCACTTCTTTTTTCGATAACATGTCCCTTATGTTAAGTTGCAAAGTAATTCTATTGCATCAGAAGTGACTAAAAACAAATTATTTACTCCACTAATTTTATTCACTCTTCGTTTTATAGTATGCCCGTTTGTTGGCTGTAAGGTGGTGCCACCTGTTGGGATGAAACATTTATTTTGATGTCGTTGGTTGATACGATGCATGGTTTTTGGCTGCTAAGCAGAGTTGAACTTACAAACAACACTATGGTTACGTAGGCCTATCATTATCTTTCTGTTATACTACCAGCTCTATTTATTAGTTGAAGCCTATATTGTAGTCGCTTCACTCCATTCGTCCAAGTTCAGGTGTATGTTTAGATTTATACACCATAACTGCGAATGATGATGCGGTTTCAAAATTCTCAACTCTCTTGCGCATTTGTGGCTTAGTGGGAACATTTTTCAAGTTTTTAGTTAATGCAAGCATGCGCACTGGAAGGATGCGTCGTGTCGTGTTGTTGACCACGTTTAACCCGCTAGCCGCTTACATCTCCGCTTGCGCCTCACCTCGAACCTCACACCTCGTTCCTCTCTCTCTCTCTCTCTCTCGTTGCCAGGGTTACAAGATGCTGACGGGCTCGTGGACGTCCAAGAATGCCCTGCAGATCTGGGAACACACGAGCGGCAGTCTGGAGCGGACGGTTCCCGTGCCGTGCGGTTCGGGGGGAGAGTTCCTGTATTGCTCGCAGTTCTGCGACAATGACGCTGTTCTGGCCGGCGGCAGCGGCACCAACAGCGTGCAGGCTATCAACAGCAAGACCGGCCAGGTGGGGGCGCCACCGCGTCCGCGAGTTCCTGTCGAGGTTTTTAACGAGCCGATTTCGATTTTAAAGGGTCCTTCTCTGGTAACCATCGGTCAGATTCGGGGGGGGAGAGGGGTCAAAGTGCATCGAATCAGGTCAAAGGTTAGTGTGCTCAGTTTTGTGAGTGGTGTCATCGTAGTCGTGCGACCCTTACTTAACAGGATGCGTTTTTCTTTCTCTCGCTCTCCTTCTCCCGCAGTGCCTCGGCGACGTGAAGTTTTCGAAGCCCGTTCAGGCGATGGACAGCACGCAGGGTGGACGCTGCTTCGCGGTTGGAGGCATGGACGAACATCTCAAGATCGGCTATCTGCAGTGACCGGTTGCACCGCACGCAGACTGACCACATAGTATGACCGCAGCTCGCGCCGTCTGCTAGGGAGTAGACCACCGCCGCTACACACGCATTGCCAATGTTGCGTGCGCGTGTGTGCGTGTGTATATATATATATATATATACATATAGTTGGAAGTTTCCCAGCTTCCATATCGGGCCCACATGCCCCTGAAAGCATGCGTGCCAAGTATTGCGCGGCGGCGGCAGCGGTTTAACTTTCGGTTTTCCTCGATGCTTCCTCCAGGGTTCCGCAAAAACATGTTTACGGCATTGCGCAGCGCTCGTTGACTCAGAACGATATCATGTGATTGGTTTAACCCCCTCCTCACCCATGCACACACGCACGCACGCACACACACACACACACACACACTCACACACACACACACGCACACGCACGCACGCGCACACACACATACACACACACACACACACGCACGCACGCACACGCACACACACGCACACACAAACACCCCCGGGAGTCTCTGCGGTGTAAAAAATGTTTACGCTTCGGGATGGCTGCCTGTGTTTAATATTCCGCGCAGCACCACGGCCACATGGAACAGAGGCAATGTTAAAACCGAAAATTTGATGCCGCCTTGACATAGTTCTAGTTTTCAGTGACTGCACCTGTAATGCGAACGTACGTATACATAAGTTCAGAGCGTGTTTATACGTTCCTGGAACATTTATAGCTAAATATTCGCACAGGCACCACCCACCCCTCCATCTCCCGTTCTCCTTCCCTTTCTGCTACTTCCCTGCGTGCTTGCGCGTATGCGCGTACTTGCGCGTGCGAGTGCGGCGTATGTGCGTGCGCGTGCGCGTGCGAGTGCGGCGTGTGTGCGTGCGCGTGCGCGTGTGCGAGTGCGGCGTATGTGCGTGTGCGTGCGCGTGCGAGTGCGGCGTGTGTGCGTGCGCGTGCGAGTGCCTGTGCGGCGCGTGTGCGTGCGCGTGCGAGTGCGGCGTGTGTGCGTGCGCGTGTGCGCGTGCGAGTGCGAGTGCGGCGCGTGTGCGTGCGCGTGCGCGTGTGTGCGTGCACGTGTGCGCCTGCGTGCGCGTGCGTGCGTGCGTGCAACCAGGTAACCCACAACCTGAGGGAACTCGGGATAATTCGATTTCGCGTTAATCAACGCGTTTCTGCACGACGCCGTCGCGGGAGGCGTCTGCTAAATCGCTCATCAATTCTCACGATGTATTCCGTCGCGAGTTTGCGTGTGCGTGTGCGGGTGCGTGCGTGCGTGCGTGCGTGCGTGAACTCGGTAATCTGCAACCCGACGGAACGCAGTAATTCGCACGCGACATTGCAGCATGTTGATGACGTCAAGAGCTAATAAATATACTTATATAATAGGTGTTTATTCGCTATTGATAACGTATATATAGCGATGAAATGCGCTATATAGCAGCCTGTAAACCGACTCGGTAGGTCGTTGAGTATCAGCCGTGTGGTTTCTTGAGCCATATTCTATATTTATCCATGGCTGGTATCAGACGACATACGGTAACATAGGACATACGATGCCAGACGGCATACAGTAACACACGACTTACGGTCACAGACGACATGCGGTCACAGACGGCATACGGTCACAGACGATATACAGTAACAGGACATATGGTAACAGACGGCATACGGTCACAGACGATATACAGTAACAGGACATATGGTAACAGACGGCATACGGTCACAGACGATATACAGTAACAGGACATATGG